AGATCACAAGTCAGGAGGACTGGAATACTGCAATGTAGCTGGATGTGGTGCAGCACAGTCAAAGTTTTAGAAAGATATTTGTAAACAAAGGAATGATTATAAAAATCACTAATGTGAGGGTTTTAAAAAAAAAAAAGTAATTGCATACTGTTGGTACAATTGAACAGAAAAACACAACCGGTAATTTGACCTGAGGGCTAGCTACACAACTAAAAACTACTTCACTGGCAAAATCAGTAACAAATCATCAAATATGAACAGAAAGGGGCCTGAGACATTGGTGGCTGTACAGTTTAGGAGGGGGCTCACACTCATTTATCAGAACACCAAAAAATAGAGATATACTCGCCGCTTCCTTTTTGTTGCAGAAAATATGAATCATATGAGGAGTTTCTTTCTGTGAAAAGTAAGAGTTTGGCCAACAGTGGTATGCAATTTTGCTGGGGAATTTAAAAAAGGAAGCTTTCTAAATGTCCTTCTTTCCTAATCTAAATCAGAGTTTTAATCCATGAGTAGCTATATGAGATTGACATTTTTAACTCAGAGTTCTACAATATTTCATTTCTCATCACTGTTATAGGGATCTAAAATAAATTCACAGACTATGGCTAAGGTCACTTGCAGGCAAACATTAAAAACAGTTATTCAACTTTGAGTTCAGAATAGACTTGTGCCCAGGTAATCCAAAATAGCTACAGAAAGCAGTCAGGTCTTTCTGATAAGTACAGAGTATGTTTGATATTTACAGCTTTTCGTAAATAAACAAACAGGAGTCCATTTCTCTGAGTACGTGAAGAATCAAACAGGAGACTGTATTTTCCCTTCCAGGTCCAAATCATTTTCAGATAGCACTTATCCAGAAGTTCTTTAGAGACTTTCCTTTCTTTGCCTAGACTAAGCCTAGCTCTCTCTTTCTTGGTTCATTTCTTTTGCTCTTCTCTTCTATTGCACTGCCTCCTCCCCATCACATACATGCATCCTACAAGGACCAAGAGGCAACAAAATCAAGATTCCTACACAGCCCCAACTGTGTCTTTATTTCAGCAATGCTTTACCTACATGGACGAGAATCCTTTATTTCACAAAGTGACTAGCTCTTACTTAAAGTTATTTTAAATAGCAGGCAACAGTTATACTTAGCTGATTTAATGACATTAAACCCAACTTCTAAAATAAAAAATAAAGTCTGCACCAGGCTTCCATGGGGAAGATCAAAGAATTGTACCTAGCCATCTAGAAGCACCCTGTAATCTATCTTGGCATTGAGTATTTCCTTTCACTCCTTGAAACAGTTGAAGTCTAGATGAAAACGGCTAGCTGCTATCCGTGTATTGAATGCAATGGAACTTTTTTCCTCACTCATCCTTCCAACACACCTTATTAACTTAGGAAGCATTCTGACATGCTAAAAAAAGACATTTACAGCTAAAGAAAAATTAGACATGTTTGGGTTTTTTTCCACGATATAGGAAATGCTGCCATTCAAGAGCATTTCAGTACATCCTGATGGCAATTTAAAACAAAACCAGCAAAACTACATGTAATTTTATTAATTTTGCTAACACACATCTATCAGGCATCATACTTTTTCTTCTACTGCTATGGGAAAATCATCACTAATGTGATCACTGCTCTATTTTATGCTCTGCTTAATGTACAGATTGATTTGCATTCCAGAAAGCGGGGGGGGGGGGGGGGCAAAAAAACAAAATAAAATCAAGAGACCATTAGAGTCACTTCAAAGCAACTAGTTGGATAAGTAAATGGCGCACTGAGACTAAAGCCTAGAAGATTTTAAAATGGCTTTACCATGAACTTCCTAGGAGATTTTAGGCAAATTATGAAGTCTTTCTTCATCTGTTTTGCTGTCTACAAGACAGAAATGCAATAAATGCAGTTTCTATATCAAGGCAAACTTGCAACATAACTTTAAATTGGGAAGCGATAATACTACAAATTACCTCTACTATAATCAACACTTGAGTAGGATTTGTCACAATTCCATAAAGTATATCAGGACACCTCAATCTTTAGGATTAGAAAGTATAGGAAGGCAGACTACACTGCATCTTTCTTGATAAATTTATTCGGTAAGTAACTTAACAGATGATTCTCCTAAATCTTTCTCAAGAACAAATAAACTAAAAGACATGAAGGCAGAAATCTTAGGAACGCAAAATAACAAAACTCAAGCTAAAGTACATCTTGAAAAGGAAATGAAAGGAAATAGGAAAATGGTTCTTCAGCTAAAAAGGACATGTAAAGAAAAATCGTGGCCACTATGCACACTCTACTGCAAAACTGAGATAATTAAGGGAAAGCCATTCACTATGAGGGTTATTCAAGTGCTCTCTCATAGGGCAAGGTTTGGAAGAATTGCTAATAAAAAAGAGGATGCGAATTAAAAAAAGAAGACAAGCTTGATTATCACAAAGACTGAAATAATAAGAATGGGGTGAAATGTAACAGATACCATGCAAGGTGACCTGGTGACTAGACTCTCAATTCTATTTTCCAAAGAATAAAGTGAAAATCAAACCAATTCCACCAGTGGAATGAAATGAATACATCTGGATTAATGTCAAAAGCTATCTATTTCTAGGACAACTGCTTTCATTTTAAAATCTTAAAATTTAGTATATTTAGATGCATACTGGCATTTATTTTAGTAAAGAAAATTTTGCCTCTGTACTACTTATACAGTATTTTATTTCTGGACAGTACGTGCATACCTGTTTTATTGGCTATGCTGCAAGAATATTTTAACATTTTGACATCCTTAGCTTTCTAACTATTTTCTAAAAGTAATGATTGTGTATATTATTGTACTTTGACTAGTTAACACCTGCCAATTTCTTAAACCTTGGTTGTTCTTATGTTACACATTTATTTCTGAGGAACAATGCTAAATCAACCCTGTTTATTAATGTATTCCATGTCAACAGATAATACCTCTTTTCAGGTTAATTTTATGCTGGACAAAACTTAATATATTTACAGAGGCTGCAATATTAGAGTCAAAGATTGTTAACTTACAAATCAAATCGCAGATTCTCTCTTTCTTCAAAGAAGTAGTCCATTATAAATTTTCTTACAAAATCTGGATTTAAAGTATTATCAATTACTTCTGTTCTTCCAAACTGTAAAAGAAAAGCATAAGCTTAAGCCACATGCTATAATGAAGTATAATTAAGTAGACTGCCAATATCAGCAATATGTGAGATATGAAAGAGCCTGTAAAAAATTCTCTTAAATAGATGCCATGAAAGAAAATGACTGTATTCACAGGAATAGATCAGTTATCTGTGGATGAAGACAGACTGGCAGAAGAGATCATATTTCAATACAAAAAGTGGTGCATGCCCTGTATCATATAACCTAAACTTTATAAACATCAACTCCCAAAGCCAATCAGAATCCACAAAAATTTGGGGAAGAAATTCAGTAACATAAAAATCCACTATTTCCTCAAAAACATGACAAGAGCAGCAAAAGCTTGTATATATTGCTTACTTCAGATAGCTTTAAATATCAGGGGACATAGTTCTTCCATTAGAAGTGTATCATTTTGGCGTTAACCAGCTCCTATTTCACCTCAGTTCAGCTCCCTGAAGCTCTCTGAGCTTTCTGCAAAAACACCTTTTCTTTCTTGGTGTTTACAGGAAGAGCCTCAGCTCTCATCAAACTGAAAATATTTTCATTTTTAAAAAAACAAAAACACTTTTGATTTACTTACGTTCATAAACATCACAGATATAAATGACTGATCATAAAATATCAATGTGATAGTTTTGTTCTTGTTTTAGCTGTTCTTTCAAGATACTCAGAAAATAAAACAAAAAAAGAATGAGCTATTATTGAAATCAGCATTTCATTTTGTCCTACACATTGAACATATCAAGACATATTTGAATATAGCCTACTGAAAAGTTTTTTGACAGTCTGCTGAAAGATAATCATTAAGGAGTCCTCAAAAGTCCAATTTGGCACTGGAGACTTTTGAATGACTCAAAGACTGTCAACCTCTTAATTGACAGGACTCAACTAAATCAATAAACATGGATAAAGAAAGAATAAACCTTCTTGTAACTGAAGGTTTTTGAAATGTATTTCCTAAAAATGTTCTTGCATCACAGATGTGAATTTAACCACTATAACCTGCACAGAGCCCCTCAGCCTCCAACAGGAGCCTCCCTGTACTGGTCCCTGCATACTTAACATATATGTGGTATGGAAGGACAGAGCACACTCCACTGACTCTTCCTCTCAAAACTACAGTGCTTGATTCTTATAAAAATAAAATTGTAAAGAACTGCAGCTACATTATTTGTGTGCTTTAAAGCAACTCCATTACTGTCAGCAACTCTTTTTTTCTCCTTTGAATGACTGTGTATGCATGCATTCAAACTGCAGGGGACTGATTCCAAGCACCATTCATTCACACAGGTCATCTGGAGAAGTGGGCCTGTATCTAAGAGGACAACTGCTTTGCAAAAAGCAGCTACCCACCCAAAGGTCTCAGGTACAATAAAATGTTCAACAAAAGTTAACACATCTTCAAGACACAGCTCTATAAAGTCTAAGGAAAAGGAACAACCCTCAGAAGTGACACAGTGGTGATTTGCGTCTTTACAGAGTGTGCTTGAATCCTGTTAGGTACCTTCACTTTCGCTATGCTGTGAGATGTTCAATTGGTACAGTCTTATTCAGAGATCTCCATATTCCAGCACTTCCTATAAAAGACAGAGAAGCAAAACTATCTTCCCAATGAACGATACCATCTCCAAATAAAAAGGCAAAGAATATTTAACATATAGCGTCAATTAGCATACTCCTTTGCCAAGACTTTACATCATTTCTTAAAACCTAAGTGGAATGATTCCCTGGTCTCATTGGAACCTTGATATCCCCTGCAAGAAGGCTTCTGAATATGTCCTAAAACACAAATTGTTTAGAAAGCAACTTTACTCATTAGCAATCACTGTATTTCTTCAGCTCTCCTAAGCCAAAGCAATAGCTATGAAGGGGGTAAGCATTATACGGAACAGGCAGGAGAAATCTCCAGAAGCTCTCCAGAGTAACGACGACACTGGATATTCAAAATAAAATCCCTGAGTGTCATAAGAGAGGACTAGCACAGGATGCACATGATCCTGGAAACAGATCAGAACATGAACAAATAGTTTGATCCTTACTGTTTGTTTTGGATGAAAAAAGTCAGTCTCTTGAGAAATTATTCAAGGTATTCTCTGAAACATTGGGATAAAGTTGACATGTAGAGTGCTGTAAAAAACACTCTCTTGAACCAACACTAGTGACTACTATGGCCATGTATTAATCAACGACAAACGATAGCAGTGGTAGAAAGTTGGCATTTCTATGGGAATAAGTATGGCTGGAATACTAGCCTGGGATAAAGGGCCTTTCTTTCCCCTCTGAATAACAGCGTTCAAATTTTATGTACATTCAGTCTCCAATCAGTTTCCAGGTCAAATAAATCTCAATGTTTATAAATAAAATCTTCCCCTGTCATTCAACAATATTGGAGCCAGGAAAAATTGAAAGCTGGAATGGCTGATAAAATGAAATATGCAGCAATATCTAAGCATTTAGTACCACTTGAAGGTATGCACTGAAAATGAGAAGCCACTCTCTGACACAAGCCAGTAAACAGCACTTCATCAGACCAGGGATGAGAAATGAAAACAATGGGGTCATAAGGACCATCCATTTTGCAGTTCTGAACAGGGATATATCTCATCTGTGTATTTTTTTCTCCTCAAGTGTCTTATTTCTTCCATTTGTACTCTTGCACTAAACTCTCCAAATTCTCTCAAAGACTGGATCAGCTGCATAAAGAGGAGATTTACACTTAGAACTGAAATCTGATAAACACTGACCTACTCTAGAAGCAAAGGACTCTGATCCTTCAAAAAGAAGATCAAAAGGTGACTGCATTGTAACTGGTAAAGCTACCAGAGGCACAGCAAGTAAGCAAAGAACACGTATTAAGTTCTGGCAGTCTCTCATGCTACGTCCAACAGAATCAGACACACATATACAAAGACATCCATGAAAATATCTCCCATCCTGTGCAGATTCAAGAAGCAAATTGTCCTGGGAGACTCCTTAATCACCAGGCAGGAAAAGAAAGGTTACTGAAGTTCTTTAAATCCTCAGATTAGGACAAGCTTGAAGGAGAGTAAGAGGATCTTCAATCATGTGGGACGTACGCTTCCATATACATGGAAGACACAGAGAAACAAAGAACATGGGGAGCTGTAGCCTAAGAAAGTTTACTTTCTGCTGCCAAAGTCATCATCTAAATTCAAAGACACAAACCCAAAACCTAAGTGAGCTCAGAGGATAACTTGTCAAAAGAGTTCATTTAGGGGCACTAATACCTCTCTTGACAAACATCTGGCTTGACACCTTCATAAACAGATCATTTTCTGACAGTATGATCCTTCTTGAAACAGTAAAGGCAGTTTGCACAACGCAAGGATACACCTGACTTTGGAAAAGCCATTCAGAGGAAAATAAAATTAATGGCTAAGGAAAACAGACAAGAATCATATAATACTTGAGGTTGGAAGGGACCTCAGGAGATTGTCCAGTTCCACCTTCCTCCTCAAAGCAGGATCAGCTAGAGTAGGTTGTCCAGTCAGGTTTTGATTATGCCAAGGACAGAGACTCCGCAACCTCTCTGGCCAACCTGTTCCAGTATAAGATCACCTTCACAGTAAAAAAGGTTTTTTCTTATGTTTAAATAGAATTTTCTGTATTTCAATTTGTACCCATTGACTCTTGTCCTTCCACTGGATACACCTGAGAATAGTCTGTCTCTGCCTTCTTTACTGCCTCACATCAGGTATTTATAAACAGGGATAAAATGTAAGCCTTCTCTCCTCCAGGCTGAACAATCCCAGCTCTCTCAGCCTTTCCTCATATGAGAGATGCTCCAGTCCCTTTAACATCTTAGTGGCCCTTTGTCAGACCCACTCTACTACGTCTGTATCTTTCTCATACAAGGGACCTCAGCACTGGACACAGCACTCCAGCAGCTATGATCTCACTGGTGCTGAGGGCAAGGATCACCCCCTTTGACCTGTTGGCAGTGCTGTCCCTAATGCAGCACACGATGTTGGGCATGCATACTCAAAAAACCCTCTCAATTTCACTCAGATGTAAGGTACTAAGGGACTGGAGACATGACAACTTCTACAAGTGCATGAAAAAGCAAGATAAAGGCACATAGCTAGGTAAAGGAAAGCACTGTTTCCCTTTGTTCCTACATACCCTAAAATGATTGTGACTGGAGGGGGACACAGATGCTCACCTCAGACAAAAAACCCAGCTTATAGAATCATAGAATCATTTTAGGTTGGAAAAGACCTTCAAGATCATCGAGTCCAGCCATCATCCATGCCCACTAAACAATGTTCTGGAGTACCTTGTCTACGTGCTTTTTGAATCCCTCCAGGGGTGGTGACTCAACCACTTCCCTGGGCAGCCTGTTCCAAAGTCTGACAACCCTCTCAGTAAAGAAATTTTTCGTAATATCCAACCTAAATCTCCCTTGTCGCAACTTGAGGTATTTATACAGCCTTGTGGCCTCTCTCATGAAGTTCAACAAAGACAAATTCAAAATCCTGTATTGGTACTGGGGACAAAGTGGTGCAGTACGAGCTGTGCAGAAAAGGTCCTGGTGCAGCCTTGAGGGTTTAACAACACATTGGGTTGTATTAGGGTCAGCACAGGCTGCATATCAAAGGCGACAATTATTCCCCCTCTATTCAACACATGTGGGGCCACACCTGGAAAACTGGGTGAAGTTTGGGGCTCTAAATGCAACTGAATCAACAGACTGGAGGCAGTTCAGCTAAATAGACAACCCCCTCCCCCAAAAAATCAGCAGGCTGGAGCACACAACTTGAGGAAAAGCCAATGGAGCTTAGTTTGTTCAGCTTGAAGAGAAGGTTTGGGGAAGATCTATTTCAACTACCATCCTCCACTCCCTAAACAGCATTAAAGAAGACTGAGCCAGACAGTTCACAGAGAGCGCAACAAAAGGACAAGATGCAATAGTCAAAAGTTGCAACAAAGGAAATTATGAAGGGATATAGGGAAAAACTCTTCCAGAATGAGTGAGTAAGCACTGGAATGAGTTGTGCAGAGAGTTGTGCAGTCTCTGCCATTAAAGAATTTCAAACCTTAGCTGGGAAAGCCCCTGAGCAACCTGTCCAAACTTTGAAGATGGCTTTGCATGGATCAGGAGGATGAACCAGGCAGAGCAGATGAGCAGGAGGCTGGATAACGCAAAGGTTCCTTTCACCTAAATTATTCCATGATTATGTCATATTTCATATCTTGGTTTTTTTAAGTTTTATAGTTCCATTAGAAATAGAACTATGTATGTATTCAAAGGAAAAGTTACTTCAAAAGGAGAACAAAACAGTTATAAAATGGCAGCTAAATGGCAGTTTTCATTTTTTTTAAACAGTAAAATAAAAATTTATAAGTAGTTTTCATCCCTCCAAATCTGCATTTTTTTCAGTAAACAATATTTCACTTTACACTACAACCATTTTACACTTGGGAAACCTTTCTGACTTGATTTAAAATGCATGACAGAAGTGTATTGGTAAAAGAAGATAAATATGCAATATGCTCATGATTAAATCACACTGAGACCAGAGAAGGCCTAACAGAGTATCCTTTACACTGTTACCTTTATCTATCATCAGTTATACTGAAATTGCTACAAAACTCAAGAGACTGAATTCAGTGGCGCTACTAACTTTTCTTTAAATTATTTTAAATTACCTTTTTTTAATTGAGGTTTCAGTTTTTTGGTCTGTTTACTTTTTTCCAAGGGCTACACAAATGATTATTTATATTAGTTTTCTGTGAAGAAATAACTGACAATTTACTATTAAAATTTATCTTATAGATGACATTAAAATGCTGGCCTCTCAAAATCACAGGTCTACACTTTTCAGCTAAATAAAGAATCATCTTTTTAAATCTACTTTCCCAATTACCTATAGCCTTTTTTAAGCAGAACAGGTTATTTCTATAATCCAGTCACTTACGACTAATAACATAGTTGCTAATTAATTAGTTCTCCACATGGCCTACTTTCCCCACTAATAGTTGTGTAAAGCTAAAATCTTAACATGGCCAACAAGCAAGTACCTTTAGAAATGTCATTCAGGAGAGTAACAGAATCAATTTAACTATTTAAAGGAAATAAATGTTCAACAAAGAAAATCAACAACAGAGTCCCTTTCCTGGATTTCCCAAGATGGAGAGTCTTTGTCACCTCCTAATGCAAGCTATCCTGGTAGAAGGGGATTTTTAAAATTTATTTAGTCATTTGAATTTTTATGGCATCTCAATCTAGTGATCCAGCCTAAGGGGCTACAAGGTTAATGGAAAATCATAACCTTCATTTTAACATCAGACTTATAAAAGACTAGCAAGTTGGGTAAGTCCAATACCAAAGATACAAAGCAACTGTTGTACCTATGAGAGTCTAAACCAACCCTCTGCTAACCACCTTCTATATGAATTCTCTGAATTAATTCTTGCTTCAACTTTATAGCTGTGAGTGAACTTGAGAATAATATCTAGTAAGCACTATTCTCTTGTTTTTTAAAAATCTGCAGTGATTTACCACAATTGCAATGAAGTTGTTGCAAAAGTTAAATCACCCCCATTCTGAACAAGAAGTTCTTGTTTCTTGCCTGATTTTTATTTCACTTCCTTTTCTGTCTTTTGGATCTTTCTATACCTTTGTCAGACAGAAACATTTTCCATTATGAAAGTTATGTTCTTAGTGTTATATATATAGCTGATTAAAATTATCTGTAATTCACTCCTTGATTAGGAAAATAATTTGAGTTTAAGTTTTGCAGTGTAGCATATGTTATTTAATCTTTTAATAATTCATTACTTTTATCTCTAGTCCTTTGTCTTTTAAACATCTTTCCTGAAATGTGAACAGTCAGAACCTAGTATTCTGTTACAATTCTAGGAAACTAAAGAACTAAAAAATCGTTTAAACTATCACTAGGTTCTTGGTTCTATCTAAATGGCTTTTGAAAGTTCTTTAGGAAGCTCCAGGTAACACTCTCCATTGCAAGCTCAC